GGACCCACCAATGCAGATGGCTGCCAAGGCCGGCTGAATTAAACATGGAGCACACCAGTCCTCGGCTGTGTCACGCAACTTTCTGTCCCTTGTGAGATGAAACAAAGGCTTTGCATCGGGTGGGGAGGCCTTTCACAAAGCAGACTTCGACTTCCCTCTGGTCGGTAAGGTGCGGCGCTGTGAGTTGCGGCGAGGTTTCTTATGGACCGTTTGGGTTGGCCGTCTGAGGTCGACTGTGTGAGAACAAGTCGGAGCGCTAAAGGTTCGTTTGGTGTCACAAGCATCCCGAAAGGAGCAATTAATACAAATCAGTGGCCGCGATTGTTTTTTGTTGTTGAGGAAAACCAGATTCCAGTGCAGCAGAAGGGGGGGGGGGGGGGTGTCATGGCTGCCAGGTCCCCGTAGGTCTGCACTGTAAATCCACACATTAATCAGAGCCGACAGGGAGAGATCAAAGGAGCCTGTTCCATCTTTACTCAGAACACACTTTGATGTGTGCATGGGAGATGAGGGGGGAGGAGGGGGGGTGCATGAGAGGGAGGGAGAGAGTCAGACAGCGGGGCCCACGGTGGAGTTGAAAATTAGGATATGAGCGACAGCCTGGAGACGAAGCCCCTCCTGTGTGGATCCTGCTGCGTCCGGGATATAAAACATATTATATATTAGCAATAATCAAGGCCCTGCTGTAACTTTGTAACAATATGGGAACCAGATGCCACTAACACGCTCTGGCTGCGCCGCATCCACGGGACAAATTCACCACGGTGACAGTGACGGCGAAAGGTTGATGCAGCACGTTTGCAGCTCAGCTCGGCTGCATCTGCAATGCTTCTGCATACATGTACACACACGCATACACACACGTGTTCACACGTGCATTGTGTGATCAGATGTGACAGCATCCCCGTCATCCCAGAACTAGAAAACGACGCTTCCGCCCCGCGGTGGTGCTCTTCCGTCACTGCAACGCAAACTCTCTCCCAAATGTGAGGCGCAGCCAACGCCGCCGGCTCGCAGCCCGCAGTTGCCGTGGCGACGCAGAGCCGCAGCAGCAAGCCTAAAAGCATCACGTTAGTCGGTGCGTTGACACGTTTGTGTTTCTTCCATTCTCTGTGAACCTTTCTCCCCCGGGGTAAAACAAAGGCCACAACTGTGTGTAGTGCTTTGAGTTGAACACTAGGGGAAGTGATCACTATGAATAAAATCTACCTTCATGGCCGGCACCGGATAGCTTTACATGTCCATCCATCCATCGTCAAACCTCTTATTGCATCTTATCGCAATTTAGAGTCCCCAATCAACCTGATCCCCAGTGCACGTCTTTGGACTGCGGGAGAACCCGGAGAGAACCCACGCAGACACAGGGAGAACATGCAGACTCTACACAGAAAGGCCACTGGACGGAGTCGAACCCAGGACCTTCTTGCTGTGAGGCGACAGTGCTAACCACCACGCCACCGTGTCGCACTAGTTTTACATGTATATCTGTTATTTTGGACGGAGATTCATTTGTTGTGGTTTTCTCTTCAGTGTTCATCTCGTTGACACGTTATTGCTCCACGTGAACGTGATCGTGTGATCAAAACGTCTTCTGGATAGAATAAACACAACTTAATGACAAACAAATGTGCTCTGGTTATGCAAAATTGTTTTTTATTGACTGTTATTCAAATAGTTTGTTGTCCATTATGTGTTTGAAACATTTCGTTTTTCCACTCGCAGACACTTCCTGCCATCTGCTGGACAAAGTGCTGGACCTGCTCCTGAGTGTGTGATGGAGAACGATCACATGAGGAAGACCTGCAGTGCTCTCTTGAAACTTTTCCCATTGACTTGCATTCTTTTTCTTGAGACTCGTCATAAGCCTAAACGCTCCAGGTGTTACACCAGAGCTCTAATACCAACATGCACCAACACACCTCCATCTCCCGCTAACGTCATAGCAGGATCTCGTAAAATGTGTGATCAAAATGGTCGTGAGTAGAGAAAAAGCCAGCGGGACTTTGTGGTCTGGGTGAAAACGAGGTGTTTTGGAAGCATGAATGTGATCGGCGGAAGTAGAAGGCCGCTGTTGGGCCGCGGACAAGCGACAACACGCAACGACTCACCAAAAAGTCTGTTGTGTTAAAAGTCAGTTGGCGCTTAAAAACCTTTCGGTTCCAATTTTGAAAAGCAAATCCATTTAGTTTGTGTTTTTCTCTGAGCCTTGTTATTATCGGGCTTTTAGTCTTTGTTGGAGTTGAGTTCTCATAGATCTCATACATTGTTTGTGTGCTTTTGGGGGTTTGCGTCACGTTCAGTCCAAACCTTTGTTGTCCCTTTTCATTTAGCTGTTATTGATCACTCCTCCACGGACACGCAGTCGCCTTCGCTTTCTCCTGAGCAATCGATGCCGCGTTGCTCGGCGGTTTTCTGCTTTCTGATTCACAACCAAAGAGGAGCGGCGTGAAATTCATTGAAATCAATTAATATGAACGCGGTATCACTCAGCATGTTACTGTCAATAAGAATCAATCGTTTGAGCATTAAATCAGGTCAGAGTGTCATCAAAGAGACGTGTACGGTTTATAATCTCAAACCTTAATATTTAAACTATTTAATATGCAGACAAGGTCTACACTGTTAAAAAAACAGCCTCTTCTTGGAGGACTGACGTTCTCCCTGAAACCATTTGATTCTCTAGAACTCTTTTTATGAATTCATATTAGCTAATCAAGATTTCTTTTTTAAGACTATGTTGAGTCCTTTTCCTCCATTTTTAAATTTAAAAGTGTTCACCGCTTTGGCTGGACAACTCAAAGAACAGCATTCAAACACATTTAAACTCAAAGCGTTTATTAAGTAAACAGCTGCTTGCAAAACAATAGAATTGAATTTCAGAATTAAAAGACCAAATTGGCAACAAATCAGGAACAACCTGTTTAAATATTTCTGTAATAGTTGGTTTTCTCATAACTAATCATTATCCATCAAAGTATGTGTTTGTCTTCACTCGTAGTAACTACATCTGACTAAATCCTCGATGAACTGACCAAGAACAACAATAAACAAACAGTAAACAACATTATTGTCGTCACCAGGGTGCGTGGAGGGCAGGACTCAAACGCAGACTTCAAAGTGACAAGAGATACACACGGCTTAAATACACTGGGGAGGCGCAGGTGATTGGACACAGGTGGAAACAATCAGACAATCACAGGGGACGACAGGACAAGGCAGGAAGTGAAGTTAGCCAGAGAGACAAGAAGCAGAAAACTACAAAATAAGACAGGAAATAAACCCACACCGTGACAATCGTATTGTCTAGACTAGAGAACTGCAAACTCTACATTGGTCTTTAGGAATCTTTTTGGCCAGATTTAATCATTAATTAATCATTACACCCTGGAACACTGGAGCTCCGGGGCGGCGCCGTCTCCTGCAGACGTGAGCATGCGCAGTGGAAAATGTAGTTCTATTTCTCTTGTCTTCTTCTTCTGCTTCTTTTCATGTCTATATATATATATATATATGTGTGTGTGTGTGTGTGTGTGTTTACTATCATATACCCACGCCCGCTGGCCTAGTTACCCATATAGCCCCAAGTTAACTATACTAGTTCCTTTCTCTACTTAACGGTCTCAGTGGCTACTCACTGTAGCATCATCATGTTGCACCTCACCACCACAAAGGGGCAGCATCCTCTAAAGAACTGCCCCAACCTGCAGGCAGCAGTGCCAACGCTCAGGCTGGGTCCGTTTCAGTGTGATGCTCCATAACGGACGCTGAGTGGCAGCCTCGCGTCTCTATTACGTGTCGTACGCAGGCAGCGTGTTCTTCAGCCTCAGGAGACCTTTTGCTTTCCCCAAACAACGATTAAAAAGAGAAGGATTATTTTTTTTCTGCAGGCCGGCGTGGTGTTGGGCGCCTCACAACAAGAAGGTCCCGGGTTCTTTGGTGGTGGAGGTTGCAGGTTCTGTCCGGGTACTCCACCTTCCTCTCACAGTGACACATTTCCTGTATGATGAACGTGACTGATATTATCTCTGCGACGTGAGACTCACTGTGTCACCAAAAGGACACTGCGCTATGATATTTGATGAGGTTAGGTGACGTTTTTTAAAACACTTTAAAAAAGAGTTCCGAAAAGTTCACTGTGTTTCTTTCGATGACGCTTCATCATAACGTTGCACCATAACCTGCTCACATACCATCTGACCGTATGTTGTGCGGATGCAGATTTAAAACATTAAGCTCGCCTGTTGTCTTTGAAAGTATTAATAACAGTTTATAGGCCTCATGATATGTGACTGGTTGAACACACAGTGAAAACCGAGGCCTTCACGGGTCAAATGTCACGCGCGAGCGTAACTTCCCCCTGATCCTTTGCAGCGTGCACGTTGATTTGTCCACATCACACGAGCGTGCATGTGAAATATAATAATAGTAACAAGGAAGGAGGCAAATGATTGTAATCATTAAAGAAGGAAGCTCTCGAGGTTGCTTTTAAAAAACCAATAAAGCACATCAGTGCCAACTTGTTCCCTCAGTCCGCTGCACACACACCGAAAACCATCGCGCTGGACTTTGTGACAAAATGTCTGAGATGTTCTGTGGAACCAAGAGAAGGAGCTTTCTGAACAGAAATCAGATTTCCTTCATTCGGTGAAAGCTGCGCCGCGTGCCGCTCCCCTCTCGGGCAGGTGAGTTCTGCTGAGCTCATGTTGTTGCAAATGATCCAAATAAGCGTATTTGCATAACGAGTTCATTTAAACGTTCCACCAAAAGCGAGTTAACGGTGATTAGTGACAGTGAACAATGCAGCAGCGTCGCTGGATCTGCGACCGGGCGGCGCGTCGACTATCGCGCTTGAAACCGGCAGTAGGCGCGAGCTCTTTCCGAGTAAATTAAAACGCCCCCCTGATGGGCGGGGCGGATATTCCCCGCGGGGGGGGGGGGGGGGCTCCTCGCGCTCCCTTACTAACTCGCGAGCAGGGCAGAGCGCGAGTCACAGTCCTGCCCGAGGCGAGGGGGAGGGCACGAGAAGACGCGCGCGCGAGGAGAGAGAGAGAGAGAACCGTCGGCGCGCACAATTAAAAACCGAGCCGCGGCGTGGTGAGCGTGGGCTATGCGCGCAACACCGCGGGAGCGCAGCGCACACGGGAGGTGAACGCTCGCGGAGAGGCTTCGGACGCACAGCAGCCTCCTTCTTCCCACGAGTCCCCCCGCAGCCGGGAGGAGAGCGCCGGGATAAAGGGAGACGCGGAGACGCGGCGGAGAGAGTCCTGCTCGGCGGCTTGTTTTCCGGCGGGAAGAAAAAATGAACGTCAGCGAAGAGAACCTGCTCAAGTCCATCAGCAACGACGCGCTCCTCGACCTGACGCAGCGCTACGGGCAGTCGGCGTTCGGATTCGGCCCGGGCCACGGTCCCGGGAGCCCCGCGCGGTTCCCGCTCACGCCGGCCACCGATTTCCTCTCCGGGCAGAAGGCGAAGTCCAACGAGAGCGGCGGGGAGCACACCAGCGACGACGAGGACGGCTTCGACTCGCTCGAGTCCCGGAAGAGAGGCTCGCCGTTCGGGGACGACAAGCCCGGGGGGCCCCTGGCCAAGAAGTCCAAGGAGCAGCGGTCCCTGCGGCTCAGCATCAACGCCCGGGAGCGCAGGAGGATGCACGACCTGAACGACGCGCTGGACGGCCTGCGCTCCGTTATCCCGTACGCGCACAGCCCCTCGGTGAGAAAACTCTCCAAAATTAGCCACCCTCCTCCTGGCCAAGAACTACATCCTGATGCAGGCTCAGGCTCTGGAGGAGATGAGGCGGCTGGGTGGCGTACCTGAACCAGGGGCAGGGGCATGACCTCGCCCATCCCCCGCCGCCCTGGCGCCCTTTGGACAGGCGGCCCGTGTACCCGTTCTCGGGCTCCGCGCTCGCCACCTGCGCCGAAAAGTGCACCACTTACTCCGGGACACCGGCGAGTCTCTTCAAACACTGCAACGACAAGCCGTGACGGGGTTTTCATCCTCTCTCCCGAACTTTTACCCAACCATGTCGATATCTCTCTCTCTCTCTCTCTCTCTCTCTCTTTCTCCTCCTCTAGTTGTTTAAAAACAAAATCATTCCTTGGAAAATAAAACCAGTTTATGTCTGAAGGATAATGTTAAAAATATGGTTCATTATTATACTTTTCATGGAGATTTGACAAAACGACACATATAAAATAAAACACGTTGGGCCTTAAGATGGAGTCACGTTGGAGACACTAAACGGGCCATGTCCAAATTATGACTTCGGGTACATTTGTGCAGGATTAAGTTATCTGATCTTATTTGTGATCTATGCAACATTCAACAACAACAACAACAACATTAAACGTAGAAACGATCTTATCTCCGCTTTCCAAACTACAACAGCGAAAGGACCCTCGACTGACTGATGATGTGCGTGAGGAATGATGCGTGATGTTGGCTAATATATTTTCTAAAAGGATGTGTTGAAAATTGTTTTGTTTTTTTTATTATTATAATTATGATCATTACCATTTTTAAGTTATTGCACATCTCACATGATTGTATTGTACAACTATTGTGGAAAAATCTCGTGCTCCGAGCCCGGCTGTACTCCTGCTTATATAACTGCAGCCTTTATTGAAGCGGCGTCTCTGGTTGTGTTGCAACATGGATTTCATATATTGTTTATATGTCTTTATAATTAAAAACACATATCTATGATTGAACCCCGGTTTGCTTCATTTCAACGAGCCTTTCACAGCTTTCGGCCACAACGAGATCACATTTAATAAGGACTTTGAACGCCACGCGTCGTTTATTTATTACATATACGCGTGTTTATTAGTTCTGCTGGTGGACATTTGTTGTGAAAATTTATGACTAGCAGCTAATTCACGTTCAGCGCAAACAAGCTGCAACGTAAAAAGGTTCAGAAAAATGATAATAACGGAAATCAAACCTCTCACGCTGCTGAAACTATCTCGGGTTCCCCGTGCGCGCCCCTCCCTGGAAGAAGAAGAAGAAGGGGGGGGGGGGGGGCACTTTCTTTTCCTCAGCCTTTTGGCACCAGGAGCTGGGGGGTCTGAAGGAGCTCAGAGGCGCTGGTTGGTGGGGCCCGGTTTGGCACGCGCGCACGGGGTGGGTGGCGCTGGCGGGGGGGGGGGGGGGGGTCAGAGCGCGAGAGCCGCCCGGGGCACGCGCGACCTGTCTCTGGGTATTTGGGTGATCGCACGCGGGGCTCTCGCGCTCCGGACATGCTATTAACACGATTCCAGCTCCTGTCTCGCTGCTCGGCTTTAACCCAGGCTGCAGTTGGGGGGGGGGGGGGGGGGGAGCTGGTGTTTACTTATTAGTATGTCTTCATTCGTCTGGTAGAGGTGACCTTCCCCTGGAAACGGACGTCTTGCTCTGTTTACATCAGTCACATGTTAGTGCTCTTTTTTTTTTTTTAGCAAAATTTCAAATTCATATTTCGGATTTAGTCAATATAAACAAAGAAACACACCTGGTTTGACTGTTCAAAGCCTGCACATTGACACCATGAGGGGAAATCATTTTCTACATTACTGTGCCAATTTATTGAGTTTATTTATTGTCAAATCTGGGTTTTTTTTCCCTCATGGCAACCGCCCCCACAGAGTATTACGATTATAATTTTAAAAAGTGCCCCCACTTTCCCACCGGTGCCCCTACATCTGTGGAAGGGTTTGTTGGACAGCAAGTGAGCGATGCAGCCCTCACAATTTAGCTGCGTGTCACAACAACGGGCACGCCCCCCCCACCCCCCCTTGGCGTCTCAAATTGGCCCTCTGATGACACGCGTCTTGTCTGAGGCCCCCACGAGTCGATCGGGGCGGCCGGGATGAAATGTGACAAACGCTGCCGACGACGATGAGGGCCGCGGCCCTGCGCTCCGTCACTCCCCGCGCAGCCTAATTGCCACAAATGAGACTCCTTTTCTCTGTGCGCGTGCGGGGCCGCGTGGTGACTCTCCCTCCGAACAGGGCCCCTCTAATGCCCAGCTGCCGAAATACGGGTTTGGTTGTGTCCCCTTATTGTCTTAATGGCCTTCAGAGTGCGTGGTGGCACAGGGTCACCCGGCGTGATCTACGTTTGACATCTCTGCGGGTCACGTGGTTCTCTGTAACGACACAATTATGGGAGGTGGAGGCTTTATTTCCCTCCTGTATTTACAATATAATTTGATAAGTGATAAAGCTTTTGGGCAAATGTGTTTATGTCAGTCTGTGTAATGTTCACTTTTTTAATTCAGTTTTTCTCATTTTTTTTGCAATCCACAAGCTGGTCAGAAACTCAATTAATTATGTTTAAACAATAGAAACAAACATACGGGACGAGGAGATTTTTAGCAACACAACAACAACAACAACTGTACAAACAAGTGTTGAGTTCTGGAGGCATCAGAACAAACAGATCAGTGCCTCGGTTGGCCCTGCGTGCCCCAGCAGAGAGCCAACACCAAGTGAGCCCCAACAAACACTTAAAATAAAACCTCTTGAAAATCATGATTGGAAAAGAAATAATACAATTTACGCCTGAAGACATTTGCGCGCGCTGAGAATAGGGGCTTTCAATTGATTCCCTTTGACCTTCTTCATCACAAAAAGCAACAACCAGGAGGAGTAAAAATGAACATCATTTAACAATTAATTATGATGCTGCGTTCATCACATTGTTGCTTCCAATGCGACATTGAATACAACACAAAAATGCATGTTTAACATTCAAAATGCAACACGATGTTGTCGCAGCTACGAGGACATCTGTGAGGAAACGATGGACGCCGCCGAGGACACGTTTCACGCAACCACCAACCCGCGTTGCCGGTCATCGTTCCCTCGGTGAGACGTGATCGTTAAACCATTTATTGCGCGTCCATCCTGCCCGTGAAGTGGGTGGAGCATCACCTTCCGGGGACCCCTAAAACGGGATAAACGAGGAGCAACACAACAAAGAAGGGGGGACGGGCGCCACCTTTTGTCTCCCTTTACCCGGTGTCCGCGTGCAGCCGGCGCGGCACGGCGCGGCACGGCGCGGCACGGCGCGGCGCGCGGACTGTGTGATGTCTGTAAACATTTGTGTTTGCTCTCAGCGGGATGCAAAGGGAGTGATTTCATTAGCATGGCTCGGAGCTTTGAGGTGTGTTGGTGCAGTGTTTCCTCCGACCCGATGGTGTGGTACTAGAACCATATGCCCTTAAGTGCGTACCGCCGCCTAATGCATCTGACAGCGCTGCTTTCTCTAATTAAGTTCTCTGCGCGCGCGAGCTCATGTGTCCGATGCACATAGTAGCACTTTGTCTCACACACACAGACACACACACTGGGCTTAGGAACGGGGGCCTCGGAGGAAAATGAACACACTTCAGCTCTGGTTATGCTTACAGTGGCGGACGAAGGGGGTTTATGAAACATTAGTCCTTTTTTTCTTTGGGTGCCAACGTTTGCTCGCGGAAAGCAGCGCTGTGGCTTTTGGAGCCACAGTGACTGAGGGACCGACGCAGTAGGCCCAAGGAAGTGTGTGACGGCAAGAGAAGAGAGAAGCTAGAAGACCGGTGGCCCTGTGAGGACCCACCTGCCCACCGACTTCTCCTGCTCAGCTATGACGTCACACTCCGTCGGCCCTCGCAGCCCCGCCCTGTCGGAGGCGATGAGCGGGTGAGTCAGTCGGTTCCGAGGAGCCATGTGATTCGGGGCGACGTTGCTGCGAGTGGGCCCTTCATTCGTTAATCAGACATCTAAAGGGGGGGGGGTGGGGGGGGGGTGGACGTCTGTTTGTGTGTGAAACTGTTTGGCGCTTGTATGGCCCGCAACCCCCTGGGGGAACATGGCGGTCGGGCAAAGCGCTTTGTGTTGCCACGTGGCGTGCGGTGGACCTGTCTTGTCCGTGAAGAAACTCTAGACTTCCACTTCCTTAAAACCTCTATAACCCCCCCCTGTTTTCCTCTATGCCCCCCCCCCTGTTTCTCTTCCATCACTCACACTCTTTTCCCTTTTAGCTTGTTGTCCTGACTGAGGATGCGAGCTGACAATCGGAGGCATCCGTTACTGTAGCACTGCCTAATCTCTGTAATGGCCCCACAGATACAAGACTGGTGGTGAGCAAACTCTCTCTCTCACACACACACACACACACACACACACACACACACACACAGACACACACACACGACCACACTTCAAGTCGCTGGACAAATGTAGATGCAAAGCCCCGAGGTCAGCAATCGTCTCCGTGCTCAGGCCTCTCTCACGTGTGATTCTCCCTCCTCCCTCACACGCACGCACACACGCAAACACACGCACACACGCAAACACGCACACGCGCGGCCGAGCGCCCGTCTCCGTGTTCAGTACCAGCTGAGGATCACCGTGGTTTTGTGGGGAGCAGGGGGAGCTCGTTATCCTCATTAATTAATGACAAAAGCGATGTAATTGGCCATCCATAATCCTCCATGCGGAGAAGGTGTGACAGGCCGGGCCGGGACCGTCCTCCCCCGCCGCCAGTGCGACTCATAAACAGGCACAGAGGAAACGAGGACGCGTTTCGTCCCGCGTGTGCGTGTGCGTGCGCGATGAATGAAATTACAAAGTGACGTCTTTAGCGAAATGTTTCTGTCCGTTTCAGCCTGAAGTTCCCACAATGAAAATCTACCCAGAAGATGCCGCTGGATCTTTCTATGATTATCATGTTGTGGCATTTGAGGCACCAGGCTGCAACATGCCGTACCCCCCCCTTTCTCCCCCCCTTCCAGCCCACCAACCCTCCCCCCTTTCTGAATGAAAAGACAAGATTAATGGCACTTCCTGTCGCCGCCGATCTCGCGCTCGCCTAATTAAAACCGTTGGAACATGCGCGTGGCCAAGGATCAGTGGCTTTTAATGAGGAACTTGTAGGCTGATTCGGGCCTCATTTTCTGCTTAATAAGGCCGGTTTAAAAAGTAATTTTGGAGGGATGTGACTCCCTTAAACCTGCTCATTATCAACGATAGCGCTTCACTTAAGTACTTCAGGAAACGCTGTGTTTAATTAATATTGTGTCGCGCGCGCGGATTAGCTGACAGGCCGGGATGGAGGAGCGAGAGAGCGAGCGAGCGAGCGCGGGAGCTGAAATTGATGAAGAACTTTCAAGGGCACTGATTTCATTAAGCGGCTTCATTACAGCCCAAATAACTCTTCATGTCATTTCAATGCTTTCGTCGGTCCCACACACACACACACACACACACACACACAATATAACCCTGCGCTAACACAGGTTTATACATTTTAAGTGAGAATAAAGGCGATCTTGCTTCAGGCGATGACGTCGATCAACTGGTGGCGTTTTGTTGTGTTGCTCTCGTGCACGCACGGCTTTGTTTTCCTCGTTTAATATGTTGCATTATCTTTTTCTTGTTCCCTCGTCATCTCACGTCTCCTTTTCCCTTCACAAACAGAGCTTTTAAGGTCAAGCAGTTTAAGGGCTGGAGCAACTTTCGCTGCTGCGCGAGGCCACAAAGGCTCTTACGGCCTCTTCATCCCATTGTGTTAATCTCCTTAGTCCCTCGACTCCGCTGGTCACTGCGAATTGAGCCGACAAGAGCCGGACTTGAGGGGCTTTGAGCGTCCTCAGGCTCAGCCTCGGGGATTTTCCTCCCTCTAGGACCAATTATCACGTGCAAACACTCGGAGCTCCTTTTGTTCCACCGGCCAGTCGAGTCCTCGG